AAAGAAGAAAGTCATATACACCTAGGATGACTTGAGGGTAAGTAATTTATGGGCTAATTTTCATTTTTGGGTGAACTAACCCTTTAACCAGTTTTAGAACTGCAGTAGAGGCCCACTCACTCCAAGGACAATAACTGTAACTATAAAGTTTAAATAATCGCTCTAATCATTCTCTGAAGTGCGCACCTATAGTAGTAAACGGAATGTTATCATCCACTAGTGTGGACGTGAATATAGTTATTATAGTTATCATTCTTGGTATGAATGGGCCATTATTTATGTGAATACTATACATTAGTGATATTCTTAAGAAGGTAATATAACACACTGATATGATTGTTTAGTATCAAGCCCCTTTTTGTTCTAATCTGTTAACATTTTCTATTAAATTAATTTAGCTATTTTGTCTTTATTACTGAGACATGTCATTGTCATTTCAGCACTTACAGGTCTGTCTTTAAGGGTTTATAAATTATCTTTCAAAATCACTTCCCTTATGGTTAAAATGAATTAACCATTGAGTTTTTACTTCCAGAACTATTTAATATTTATGCAATAATTATAATACATTTTTCCGATTGAAAATAATACAAATGATTTTTCTATTACTTTTTATTTATGGCAGTATTTCATGTTAAAATAGAGACAATTCCTTTAATATCCAATTTTTGAAGGCAGATTAGTGCCATTTGGTGTGAGTAAAAAAAAAAACATCTGCAATTCCATGGTTTAGCCACTAGATTCCTATATAGCTCTATATAAAAGGCTTATAAATTATCTAGTTTTTAGACATAAATATATTTTTTGGATTTATATATGGATTTTTGGATATTTGGATTTATATTTAGCCATTCTCAAAGACAACTTTTTGTAAAGGTTTAGATTTTTTTTTTCGTAATGCAAAAAGTTTTTGCATTAATTTTACTACAGTCCAACCTGAACAAAAATACATTTTGTTACACATAACATCAAAGTTCAACAAAAAAGTAACAAAAATGAACAGGAATTCTTTATCAGAGGTTAATCAATCTGATTTCAACCTCTTATTTGAGACTTCTGGCTCAATTTTGCCATATTGTTACAGCCAAACCAGTTCATTTGTGTGTGTGTCTGTGAGTGTGTGTGTGACTTTTTTGTACTCTTGATGTTTTAGAGTGTCACCCCTTCCTTGGTGTCTGTGTTTTAGCTTTTTCGAATCAAGTCCACAATTTTTTTTTTGTGGTCACAGTGACTGCCATAAAAGTCACCGAGTTCCATATCATTCCGATGAAGTAGTGATTTTTAACATTTCAAAACTTTTTTTTTTCCGGTCTAAAATGGCCGAACAGCACCAGAGGGTTAAATCAGTATTTTTTTATTTCTTGGTTTTAACTCAGCTGTGTGATGGTTTAGCGTTCACGCTAATAGATGTCCATGGTGTTCATTTTAAGGTGTTGGTTTCAATCAGCACAGCTGTTCTGTCTGGTACTTTTTCTGCTGTAAACTGGTGAAAAATGACCAATTTGTGAGTGCAGGTTTATGGCTAAATCAGTCCAAAATAATTTTAGGTTTGGCTCTTTGAAAGCGTACATCAAACTAAATTACGTACAAATAGCATAGCTGAATACATCAAGACGACTATAACTTAGGTTATTTACGTGACTCAATTTCTTCATCTTAATTATGAATGGAATAGTGCTTTGGATTTCCTTACCAACGGGTATGTAAAAGTTTGACATTTAAGTTACAGCACTGCATTCAGCAGTTCTTTAGCTACTGAGTTTTAGAGAGAAATCGATTTACTTAAAGCTGCAGTCCGTAAATTGTAACTCTTTGTCGCCATCTCTGTTTTAAAACCTGGAATTGCAGCTGTGTGCGGAATTATCTAGCTTGCGTGGGTTGTGAGTCGGCGGGGCTCCAGCGCGGATGAATCTAATGTTCTGAAGAGTATGTGTGGCAGTCAGTCACCGCACCGGTGTGGATATTTACTGTACTTCACAATCACAGATTCTTGGAATATGACCCAAATAAGAATTTTCACCGTATATTGCCATCTGAACAAGTAAGTAACAAGTCTGCCACGTTTGTTCTGACCAACCGAGGAACAAAGCATTACCATAAATCTCGCTACCAATGGGGATTAAATCTAACGATTGGTTAGCTCATAACACATCAAACCGTTCAAATTATTATTATTGTTATACTTTATTCTCAAATGATTAATGTTAACAACATCAGCATTGGTGACTATGAGTATAGTGTGTATTAGCGTGTAGATTTCAATTTCTGCACAGTCTAATCTAATTGTCATACTCTTCGAATTTCATATTAAGAAATTCTTTTAACCCAAAAAGCAAATTATGCTCCCTTCGAACTGGTTTTCTTTAAAATACAAATCGTGTGTAATCCCAGGCTCTCTGTAATGAGAAGCACATTTATAACTGGAATATAATTTAATTTAATTCACATGTTTCATAAACGCATAATCCTTTGGATTACAATCCGCCATCAAAATGATACATTTAATTATTCCGGATGCTGTGAGAAAAGGCTATAAACGATCGGCCACCTGCAGGATCCTCACATGCGATAGCCTAGTAGCCGAGACAACTTCTTTATGTTTACAGACGTGACATAATGACGCAGTTCCATGCTCGAATTTCCCGCGAAAACCTACCCGTACCACTCAAATTAGAAAACATTATTATAAGCTAACCGTTGTGAATCGGGCTAAAGGTGATAGTTTTGAACACTGGCTGGTTATGTACTTGCTCAAATATTGATTTCGGATCATTTTTAACCAAAAAAAGTTACGGCCTGCAGCTTTAACGTTACCTGTCCAACAAGAAAAGCAACTTGTGCATTTTCTCTTTTTGGCCCATTTTCTCCGCCATCAGATCTTTCCACTTTGTGCATGCCCAGTATTTACGCTCGTTTTATCTCTGTCAATCCTTCTTTTTCCTGTGTTAAGACATCTTCTGCTTCTTCATCCGAACATTTACTGATTCTCCCGTTGTCTCCGCTGGTAGAGCATGAAAAAATGGTAAAGTTAAAGTGCGTTCCTTTGACTAATTTTCGCGCTTCGCCTCGCCAAACAACACTACGCTACTGGCGTATCTGACGTTTATCACGTCGATTCAACATGGCGAAATACAATTAAAACTTTTCAACTATTACGAGTACAGTCTTAATGTCACGTGAGTGTACAGCATTCAGAAGACTCTTCATAAAAAAACAATTTATTTTCTAATGTGTAAAACTTTGAAAATTAGTAACAAACTAAGGAATGCACATTTAAAAGCCCAGGATTTCTGACATGTAACTGCTAACTTAAAATGCTGCACGTTCCTTTTCACATAAGGAGCAAATGAGCAACTTGGAATCATTTGTGACCCAACAACTGAGTAATTTCCCAAAATATATTTTCTGAACTAAATGTATTGTTACATGCCAACATCCAAACATCTCAATCCTTTTTCTATTTAATGTTGTATTTAATACAAAATGCTAAATTGCAGATTAGATTTCAGTGTGCTCAGTCATTCAAAATCATCAAACACACTCATTGGCTGATAGTCAGGAGTTTAGGATTCACTTCTATCCACTCTTCATTTGGTCCTTCATTATAAAACAATGAAATTAATCTCAACAGAATTGGTAGAGAAATGAGACTGAGAGTGGCTATAAAAAGTCAGTCAGAAACCAAACTCACTGAACACACATGGCAGAATCACATCTGCTCTATGTCAAACATGCTGGATTAGACACAATGGCTCTGTTCAGAATAGCATACTAACATAATATTATCTTCTGTGTAATGTATTGTGTGCACAGATGCTGAAATATCCCACGATGCAATGTGACTTGGCTTTCCATTTCCAAAGAACTTGGAAGTTTTTATCAATTGTTTAATCAAATTTCCATACATTAAAAGTACACAGCATTGAATTAATACAAAATAAACTTTATTTTCAAGATTATAACTGGATGCTGCTCATTAAATTAAACATGCAATGTAGTGGTTGTGTGACAAAAGTCTACAATACCACACAGTATGCATTACAGCATAACACTACTACTACTACTGTTTTACTATATTCTAAAACAGTATGCAGTTTTCAGTCAGCAGTCATATTACAGTAAGTTAGTACTCCATTCTGAACACAGCCAATGATTGTAATACATCAGTTGTAGAATGTTACATTCCATTTCCCCTGTAGCTGATGTCATCTAATATAATCTGTTAGTAATTAACATACATAATTCTGGATACATATAAATCTGTGTGTACATATACACACTGTACATACATCATATTGAGCATACTCTCGGTTTCATCAAGTCTTAAACAGAGCTGATGGAGGGATGAATGGGTGGATGGACGACCGGAGGTCTATAGGTTACTGAAGAGTTCATTTTTCTTGTTCCAGTCCATGGGTGGAGCTCTCTTGTTGGAGCGTTTCTGGTGCGCACGCTCTTTCACCTGCTGGAGGGACAGACTGAGCTCTGGGATGGCATCTGTGATGGATGGCTCCACAGCCTGAGAGGAGGAGAAACAAACATAAACCCATGAAATAACCTAAAATGGTCACATTCAGAGTCTGTTACGAGAATGTGCTCAAGTGACAGTGGAATTCTTGGGCTTGAGCTTTAGAGTTTTCTCAAGCAAAACACTTCTGAAGCCTGAATTTTTTTTTCATATATTCATAAAGGTTGAAGTTTGACGTACTTTCAGAAAATGTTATGCTATGTTTGAAATGGAATACCAGCTGCTTACCACACATGACCTACATACTTTATATGGCTTACTATTTTTTTTAAATTGTTTGTAAAAGAGTATGCAATGATAAATGTCCAACAGTTGTATGCTAGATTGTTGTCACACAACCTCATTGTTTAATCCTGCAAAAAAAAAAAATGTATTCAAGTGTGTACAAGTGTACTTGCAGTATAAAAACTATTAAACTAGTAGTTCACTGAAAGTATACTTCAGTACTTTCATAAACTAAAAAGTGAACGAAGCATTTAGCTAGTAAATGAACAGTACCTCTAAGATCACTTGTACTGTAGTTCACAGTATAGTTGCACTAGAAAATAAATACTTATCATGTACTCAACGTTTACTTCTGTTAGATGTAAAATACATGTAAAATTAAAAGCATACATTTATAAACTAAAACGTGGACCAATTTAGTCTCCAGAAATATTGAAATAGTAGTACACTTACAAGTATACTGCTAGTACACTGATATTAGAATACTTATTACATAAAGTATATTTGGAAAATATCCTTGAACTTAAATTTACTTTAAGTATGCTTTTTTGTGTGAGTATAATACATTATGCATGTTTGATTTTGTGAGTGGCACATCTTTAATTTTATTTTTGTGTAAAAATATCTTAACCCTTGGCATTTGGGCCAAATATGTCAACAAAAAGTCATTAAAAAGCATGGCTGATATTACAAAAAAAAACTTTAAAAACCTGAAAAGTTCATGTTAAGCACAATGCATTGTGGGATTGAGTACCCAGTATGCAGTGTGCTCTGTAGTATACTGCATATTTTGGCGACTGTAGTAGTAGGTCACCTGGGTATTCTGTTTATGTAGAAAATTCTAAACATCATAGTTCAGTCTCACCTCAGTGGGCGGAGTCGTGAGGGAGGCATTGGAGGATGCGTTGGATGGGGACGGACTTATTGATAACTTTGAGTTCTTCAGCTCCACGTCTTTGGCCACATTTCCATTAACCTGAACAGCAGACGGTAAAATGTCAGATCACCATAGTATGAATCTCCTAAGGCTCAGTGCTTCGCTTTGTACACTAGGGGTCAGACATGAGCCAGTAAAGTGCTGCATGGCAGCTGCAGTGTGTGGGCCCCAGGCTGCTGGAGACAGAGCTTCATTAACTGAACGAGTGGGCAGCATTAGCCAGGCATCAATACTGCTCCTCTGACAGGTGACAGCACCCCCTTATTCCCTCCTGCCAGCTACATCTGACAAGTCAACCATTAGCCAGAGGCTGAAGAATCGCGCTGAATCCCTCTTACTTTCCCCCACAATCCTCTTTAGAGAAACCGCCCTCAGCGTCTCTCTTCTGGAGACACAGACTCTAAACTTACCTGTACCTGATCTGTCCGTGTCAACTTCAGCTTGATGTGCACAAGAATGAAGGTGAATTCAGGAAGTACAGCTGTAAATAAGTCTCTTGTGTGTATAAAGTCGTGGACTGATATATCCAGAACTACAGCACTCTTGCTTCAATAAGAATCACTAATGAAATCTGAACCAGGACCATTACGATTCCCATCCCTAATGTTAATGATCGATAAAACACATTCTTGCTCTTCACATGCACTGCATGGTCAAGAAATATGTGGTGTATGACACATAAACAACACAAATGACCCATGAGCTCTAAGCACTAGTTAAATTAAACCAGTTCAATTAACAACAGAGGCCTTTTTGAATAAGGCTGACTGAAAACGTTAAAACCTGATAGTGATTAAAGGGGTCATATGATGTTGCTAAAAAGAACATTATTTTGTGTATTTGGTGCAATGAAATGTGTTTATGCGGTTTAAGGTTAAAAAACACGTTATTTTCCACATACTGTACATTATTGTTTCTCCTCTATGCCCCGCCTTTCTGAAACGCGTCGATTTTTACAAAGCTCATCGCTCATTCTTTATGCACCAAGAGCTTTTAACACTCCAAAGAGAAAGGAAAAATTAAAATCGCATCATATGACCCCTTTAATCCTGTCAAATTCTGAATAGAAATTGATCTTCAACCTCTAATGGGCTTCTTTCATGCAGTGACCTTTTATCATTGGCATAATCAGAAATAATTGTGTAATACAGCCACAGACTTCCCTTCATATTTGGCTAGAGAGCTGACTTCACTAAACACAACAATATGCTAATATTTCAGTAATAGTCTAATATAAAAAAACATGCAAAGGTTTCCAGTGACCTCTGAAAAACTTGCTTTAGTGTTTTTTCCTGCTGTGAGAACCCAAGTTCAGGCACAGGTCAACATAAACAACTCAAGTTGCTGTATTATTTGGGAACGAGTACATTGAATAAACTGGAAAGTGCACATGGCTGAAAACTGAAAAAAAATTTGATCTCAATATCCATGTAGTCTATTTGCTCTGAAACAGCCTAAAATTGTGATTTTTGTTTCGTTTGACATATCATTTGTAGCCAGTTTGATTCAAAATATCAAATTCCAGAACTTTGTTTTTTACTAAATTAAAACTAACAATATTTAATCATTACAAATGAACCATTTTGACAATGATGCTCAATGTTATTAAAGCAACGAGCCTCAAGAGACCATGAATAACAGTAATATAATATTTGCTGAATCTGCTGCATTTATCTATTAATAGCCACCTTAATACTGCAAAAAGAGTTTCATTTAATGTATTGATTCTAATACACAGCTGTCAGAAAACAATGTGCATACAACAACCACATGCCATAACTTTTTTTTTTTTACACAGAACCAAAGCCTGGAACCTCAATTTACCTTAAAGTTTACTCTTGCTACCTCACTAAAACAGGTATTTAACTTCTGGAAACGTTATTCTAGTTGCATTTGAGAAACAGCTGCACCAGTGATATGATAAAAGACACCATTGTTCAATAAATAATTACATTCAATGATATTAATCACAATAGATCATTCTTCAAGGCTTTGAGCTTTTCATGTCCTTGAACTCAAGACTCGTTTCAGTGGAAATTATAGGTGACTTTGCTGATAATGACAGCAGAATACTTCATCACTTCATCAATATTGAATAGCAGTAACTTATCATATTTGAGCTTGATTTTCTTTATATTTCATATTTGTTTTTGCAACGCATTAAAGGGATAGTACTCCTAAATATTTCATAATTTACTCATCACCATTTACTCACCCTCATGTTGTTCCAAACTAGTATGACTTTATTTTTTCAGTGGCACGCATAAGAAGACATTTTGAGAAATATCAAAAACAAACAAATCTGTGGTTTTATTTATTTTTTTGTGCATACAATGAAAGTCAATGGTAACCAAAACGGTTTGGTTGCCACCAGCATTCTTCAAAATATCTATCAAAATATCAAAAGATTGAATACACAACTATTTTACAACATTAAGTTTTTCTTTTGTATTGCAACTATACTAACTATACTATAACTTTAGGTATTCTGTTAGTCTACAAGCTATATACTTCTAGCCCACATTTTAGCTTATGGAAGCAAACTTTGAAGTATACTTTCAGTAAACTACTAGTTTAATAGTTTTTATACTGCAAGTATAATTCTTTAAGTGAACTTAACATCAAACTTAAATTTTTCTATTTATACATGAATTTGTGCATTTTAAGAATACTACTAGCTTCGTATTTAGGTTCTTATTTACTTGAAAAACATTTAACTGTACTAAGAAGATTTGAATTATGAAACGGATAGTTCCGGTCCTTGATTCTGATTGGCTGAGCCAGATGCGTTTTTGTAAGAAAAATATCCATATTCAAAACGTAATAATCACTTTAATCTAGCTTGCGCTCACTGTTGTAAACGGAAGCAGTTCCAGGCGGATGACGTATGAGGTCAGCGTTGCACATGCGCCACTCAGAAGTGGAGCGGAAACGCAGCGGAGAGATCAAAACAAAACAACGGTCGACATTTTTTTTTATGCATGGGCACTTTTTATTTAACTTCTTTAGGACTGAAGCAATGCAACACCCGCTGAGTGGCATTAAACAGCTTGAAAGATCAAAAACAATTTTTAATATAACTCCGACTGGATTCGTCTGAAAGAAGAAAGTCATATACACCTAGGATGCCTCAGGGGTGAGTAAAACGCAGCCTAATTTTCATTTTTGGGTGAACTAACGCTTTAATATCATTACTCTTTATTTGCTCTGTTTTATTTTGTGAAACCTTAATACGCATATGGACTAACCGTTTTATAAAAGCAACAAGCCCCGTGAAGCCATGGTTTACTCCGCTTCGCGTCATGCCTAACAACGCCCCTTAGCTGTTATAAATTCACTGTAAACCACGGCTTCTTGGGGCTTATTGCTTTAATTAACTACAAGGATAGGCCAAATGTACTGTCTGTATAAGCCTAGTATACCTTTGTATATCTCTGATAAGTACATAAAAGTAGACTGAATGTAAGTAAATGAGAATGAGATGATGAGATGATAAATGATGACAGACTTTTCATTCAGGGGTGAATTATCCCTTTAAAGGGACAGTGAAAAATGAAAATTCTGTCATCATTTACTCACCCTCAAGTTGTTGCAAACTTTTATGAATTTATTTCTTCTGTTGAACACAAGAGAAGATATTTTGAAGAATGTTGGTAACCAAACAGTTGCTGGTAGCCATCGACTTCCATAGTCTTTTTTTCCAACATTCTTCAAAATATCTTCCTTTATGTTAAACATCTGAAAGAAACTAATACAGGTTTAGTACAACCTGAATTAGAAGAAGAATTTAAATGTTTGGATCAACTATCCCTTGAATATGGCCTGCTAGTATTCTGTCATTTGATCTGTTGTCTTACCGTGCCCTCCATGTCTCCGTTGACCACAGGTTCAGGCAGTGGTCCTGCGGGCAGAGAGAAGCAGAACAGGTCAGTCCCAGATCAAACCTAATACATCTGCATCCTTCAGATGGGACTCTAACGCTCCTCATCAGAGACAGCGAGGAAGCAAAGATAAAACAAGACACTTCCAGACCCCTAGAGAATAGCTAGTATGACATTCACTCCTTCTTGGGTTGCAGTGAGCAGATGTCGACTCTGTTACATACAGGACCACAGGTATGTGCTTCATTTATTATTCAGATGACCATCATCACCGTGGTGAGAGCCATGGTACCTGGATACCTGCCGACCCCCGCAATTCTATTTGGAACAAAATCTAGAGGCCTTCATAGTGGATTACACATTAACAAATGAACTGACATGAGAGACGAAAGACGTATGTGGAGATCTGCCAAGACTTGTTTGTGAAAAAAATGCACACATACTTTCAAAAAGAGCACTTATTGGGGAAATAATATATTTTAAAGAATATACTTAAGTGCAAACTTAATATAATGTTTTCGGGCATTTTCGGGTATTTATAATTACGTGAAAATTACAATAGTTGCTGTTTACAGTTAGGTGAAAATTTATATTAAATGCAATTAGCTGAATATTAGAGTGCTTTTTGATCCACTTAAGTACATCTTTATATTCCTACTGTCTTTGAAATATGTTTAAAGTGTAGTGCCAAATGCACTGATACACATTTACGGTAAACTAAACAATACTTGAATATAATTTCTATTGAAACGTGGGTAACACTTTAGGGACCAATTCTCACTATGAACTATTAGTTGCTTATTAGCATGCATTTTACTAGCATATTGGCTGTTTATTAGTATTTATAAAGCACATGACCATATTCTACATCCCTAATCCTACCCCATACCTAAACTAACAACTACCTTACTAACTATTAATAAACAGCAATTACAGTAGGAGTTTGAGGCAAAAGTTGTAGTTAATAGTGAGATTCGTTTGCAACTTTACAGATCTTCTTTATGCATGTAACAAGTGTGAGCTTGTAACACTTCAAAGAGAAAGGAAAAATTGAAATCGCATCATATGACCTCTTTAAAATAAAGTGTGAACCTGTAAAAGGCACGATATGTAATTTTTCACCATTAGAGGGCGCGTATTCAAAATAAACAAAGAGGCAAAGGCGTAGTTTGATGACGCTGTGACTGAGTGTGGAATCATGGGAGTTGTGGTCTTCATCCCCACAGCCGAAGCAATCTGACGGGACTCGGGCAGAAATCATGTTCATGGATGAGCTAATGATTTATTAACTAGTAAAATGAAGCAGGGTGAGGCTGAAAGCCGTCGAAGCGAAACGAGGCCACTGAACGAGCGTGACACACGGCTCGAAAGCAGCGGAGCTTTTATTATAACACAGTCGACCGCTTCCGCTCCTTCCGGTCGTGCGTATGTGGGGTAAAGCAGCGCTGTTTTATCATTCTAGATACATTTGAAACTTCTGTTATAATGCTACTCTGTGCGGTCGTCACCGGTCTAATAAAACACATAACATATTAAAGCGTCTTTGGTGTTTCCATGTTTTCTACAAAACAAAACCGGAAATCGAGGGGTTATGACGTCATTGGCAGGCGACACAATGACACTATGGACACGCTCCGTGTCACTAGTTAAAATTGCTTATTTCTCTGGATTTATTCGAAATTCGAAACATTTGGGATAATGTAAGTACACAAGTCAGCAAAATATATAACACTGTTCTAGTGGTTTTTGGTTTTAGTGGTCTTACATGTTGTGCCTTAAATAAGAAAATAAGAATTATTTTAAGGTATCATAAGTTCAGCATCAAATGTATATACTACAAAGAGAATGCAATCCCAGAATGTCTGTAACACATAACCAGACACAGTGTAACAGTTGTGTATTTGAAACATTTATTTGTGGTGCTTCACAGTTGCCTGCTGGGCTACAATTTTAAGTCTTATACTGTAAATATGTTAGCCACTTGTTTATACACCAAAGGACAAGTCAAAATTATATTCAGTAACTATTTAATTTTGAAGGGTCACAACAAACCACCAGTGACCGGTGGAGATGCAGTGTAACTGTAGGTTGTTTATGGTTACCAAGAAACACCACAACTTGCTGCATTAACATTCAATTGTAATCGACTAGATTATGAAAAACTATGCATTGCTTCATCCTTACATAATATTAAATATTTCAGAACGATACTGATGTTCCTACCACCAGCTGGCTACAGAGTTTTTAGGAAGAACAGCAAACTAGTAAGGCAGATAAGAGAATTGAAAAATAATCCCAACACCCCTACCGTCTTCGTGTCTGAATTTCTATCTTTTTACCGCCGTCTGAACACTACATGAGTGGCAGAAAACTGCAGGGAAGATACGATAACACTCAGATCCATCTGGCTCCTGATCGGCACAAAACACACACATCACTGGCTGTTTGGACACTTCAGACGCCCTTCAGTCCCAATACGGCAATCTGAGAGCCACTCCAGACCAGCACCTTGGAAACCACACAAATGTTGCTTCCAAATTTGGGTGACAGGCAGCAGAGAGAGACAGAGAGTGTGTGTGTGTGATTGTGTGAGTGAGAGAAGAGAAAACAGCTGAATGTACGGCTGTGTAGAAAATAGAATCCTAGCTCACTACTTACTACTGAATATTGCACAGTATATATACAGTATATTGCCTACACATTTGGAAAAAAGTAGCATTATAAATAATAGGCACTACAAAAAACAGCAAATTGTTGTCATATGACTTGGCATCCATAATTCAATTTTGTATAAGCATATTTAGGCATTCTGTTCAAATAGATGTTAAAATAGATGGCTGACATTAATTCAATTCATTTCATTTGTCACACTGGAAATGGAAAATCATGTGGAGCGCATTACAAATTATGGCAAATGTAGCAGGTCAACTATATATACTGCAGAGACAGTGGGAGTAGCATGTTATTATGCTATATTTAACATGGCCAATTTGACTGAAGTGATTTGGCTGTCTAAAAGAATAATCTGACTGAAATAGTTTAATTGGCTGAAAAAGCTTTTACTGTTTAGTGTGTGATCAGCAGGCCTATAAGGAGTCTGTGCCAGCAGAAACTCCTCAGAAATCTCTAGAGATTTATGAAGAACTGGAACACCTGTTATTTAAGATCTACACATCCCCTGCTGCGTGACTGTTTGTTTGTTTGTTCAGTATTTAGGAATTGTGCCTTCCGCTACCAATAATAGTGCAGCATTCATGGTTTAATTTTACACCTTTAAAATCCATTCCTGAAGAACTCACAAATTTTCAACAAAATCAGCACGGTTTTCACAGAAATATGAAGCAGCACAACTGTTTTCCACATTGATAACAATACAAAAGTCTTGAAAAAAATGTCTTTTTCCAAAAATGTTGTATGTATGCAAATTATATAATATCCAAGGTACACATTTCTAGTAACTGCGCAGTTAATTCTTATATTGTATTGTCAGAAAGTTTTGGAATATTTGTCCTCTCTCCAAATATGTCACTACCGAAAACACAGTAATAATAATTTAATTAGAAGGGTTATATTGAACTATTAAGATTTTGCTTACATTTACATTGTAATATATATTTGTGCTATTCTATTTTTTTTTTTACAATATTTTTAACAATATTTCAAGTGTAATTTATTAGATTTGTTGTATTTTGAATCCAATTTTTCTTTGTAAATGGCAAAACGTTGATCATACTGATTTCAAAGTTAAGGATTCATTAGTTTGAATATACATTGAAACAAAAACTATCATAACATCTTAGTTGATAATTCAGTATACTTAATTTTTGACAAAACATCTTATGTTTTGGTAGTGACTGCACATTTTTGGTAGTGACTAATGCTTTGTTAGCGACCACAACGCATTACAGAATTTTAACTTGCATATTAAAACACTACTAAAACATACTAAAATACTAAAGATTTTAGTAGAGTTATGCAGTTATTTTGTTTATTTCCCCCAAATATGAGGATTATGTGTTCCCTTTTGTCACTACCGAAACCATGATGACATGTTTCGGTCGTGACAATTTTATGGGATAACACCCAAAAAACAAAGATATCACTACCGAAACTCCACCAAATGTTTCGGTAGTGACAATTTTAGATACTTTTGAAACTATTTGAAAGACGCTAATCAGCACATGGTTAACTAGCACAGTTCTGAACAGTTGTACACACATAAAAATTAAATGATATGGAATAACTCCTAAAAAAGAGTGCTTCATTTCAGAAAAAGGGTGATCGGTAGTGACGTTCCTTAGAGTTACAGACAGATTTTTCAGACTTTTGAGCACATTTACCTCAAAATGATGGGGCCAATCTACTCACCCTGCAGCTATGAGAGAGAGGGACATAAATATTTCCTGATCATAAATGTAGGGGTGTAGTTAAAATCAGTCTCAGCCAATGGACTAAAACATACACTGTTTCGGTAGTGACATGAAAACGCGGGACACATTTCTTTACATAAAGTTTCATAATTTACAAAGAAAATATAATTTTTTTTTTTTGAACTTCACTTTTTAAAAGAATCAAATAGATATTTTTAAAAACAACAATGGAAAAAAAAAATTCAATATTTTCACAAGTTGAAACTTAGGGGTTAGGGTTCGGGACAGCTAACTCCCAGTTGAAAGTACCCAATAAATGATGATTTTATATATATTAAGCTTACTAGTATTTTAAATATTATTGTGGGTTTCAACAGAGAATAGAAGGATCTTAGTAAACATCTAAGATTTGAATACTTAAATGCTTTTTAGATGGGTTTTTTGGTTGTGGGACAGCAGTTTGGACCAATTCTGTAGAATGGCCCATATACAAACAGAAAACAGTTACTTTAAACTGTAATAATATTTCACAATATTATTGTTTTACTGTATTTTAATCAAATAAATGCAGCCTTGGTGAGCATAAGAGATTTTGAAAACACATTTAAAAATCTTACTGACACCATATGTTTGAATGGTAATGTAAAAATCATACAACAGAAAGTTACTATGGTACAGTCAATATAATATTTACAAACTATATAAAATATATGATGGTATATAATGGTATATAATCATCACTGAAGCTTTGTTTATTTGCGGAGGCCGCCATATTGAAGGGTCGTTCCAAACCGAAGTGCTCAAAACTGGCCACTTCAAAGGGCCCTTCGGAATGAAGGATTTCGAAGGGTACAACTGATGGACACTTCAGGCTCCCATGATCCTTTGCGCAGATTCTTTGCATGATGACGGCGCCTCGGTATGGGCATGGGATGAAGACGCAGAAGGGCACTTCAAGAACAGGTCCCCTACACCCTTCAAAGCTCTCACAGTATATATGCATTTGACCCTTTGAAGGGATTAGGGCATAGGGATGAGCCCTTCCGAATGGAACGCAGGGATAATCAGCATCACCAACAGCTACTACTAGAGGTCATATTTGGTAAGCTTTCCATATTTTGGCAGCTTACAGTAGAGATCAGTAGCCTGGCAATGACTGTAAGGAATCCGGCACCTGCTGAGTGTTTAAACCCTGTGGTACATTGATATGAGACTGATCCCAATTCCCAACAGCTTTTTCCTAAATTCACCTCTGAATAGTTGCTATTGCACTTAAAGGGTTAGTTCACCCAAAAATGAAAATTCTGTCATTAATTACTCGCCCTCGTGTTGTTCCAAACCCGTAAGACCTTCGTTCATCTTCGGAACACGATTTAAGATATTTTTGATGAAATCTGAGGGCTCTCTGACCCTGCATAGACAGCAAGGTAACTACCACGTTCAAGGTCCAGAAAAGTACCAAGATGATCGACAAAGTAGTCTGTGTGACATCAGCGGTTCAACTGTAAAGTTACGAAGCTACGAGAATACTTTTTTGTGCAAAGAAAACAAAAATAACGACTTTATTCCACATTTTCGTCTCTACTGTGTCACTTTGGATGCGCGTTCACGACAGTACCATGACACGAGCGTGTGGCGGCGCCGCCGCTGACCCAGATCCGGTGTAATGATGTCATTACGAAGGATCTGGGTCAGCACCGCCACACGCTCGTGTCATGGTACTGTCGTGAACGCGCGTCCACAAGACTACTTTGACGATCGAAATCAGGAGTAAGTGCAGAGGTGTTGTGTGCGCTGAGTAAACATGATGTTACTGTAGTTCTGGACTAAATGTGAACATGACTTTACTCATATCTCACTTGCACAAAAACAGATTCAGTATTCCTCAAAATAAATAAAAACAGTGAAATGCAAACTCAGAATATGATGCAAACCTGCAATAAATGTTAAAATAACACAAATATCCTTTATGTATTTAATCCTATTCTATTAACTAATGTCTTTGCTGCTGACCTTCGATGATCCAATTCAACCACACTAATAAGCAAAAATGATTTTAGATAAACATAATTTTATGCACAGCTAAAATAACTGGAAGCGGATGACACATTCAAGTTACAAATGGCTGCATCCGTTTCCTTTTTTTTTTCAATTGCTGAAGAGTGTTGAACTTTCTTCTCCTGCGTCCTATTCTTAATCCAGAATAGCAGCACAGCTGAAAGGTTTGTTTGAGCTGCGCCCTCTACTGTACAGATGTGAATTTACATTTCCTTCAACCTGAGGCTTGTTGATTTCACTTTTGGTGTGAAAGGACTTTTGTATTTACCAAAAATAGAACCTTATATATTAAAAACAAACAAGTAAGCCCAGCCCAGATGAGAAAAAGTAATGCAAAAGTAACGTAACGCATTACTTTCCATAAAAAGTAACTAAGTAATGCAAGTAGTTCTAGAGAGTAACGCAATATTGTAATGCATTACTTTTAAAAGTAACTTCACTGTCGGCACTGATAGCCTCGTGGGCAGCGCGCCGACATATAAGCACATTGTGCTTCGGACGTCCCGAGTTTGAGTGCCGGTTCACGAACCTTTCCCGATCCCGTCCCCCTCTCTCTCTCCCACTTCGCTTCCTGTCCAAAAGTAACTTTCCCCAACAACACTGGCCATTACAATATTTACTTGTACTTCTGATACTTAAAGTCCCCATGAAATCAAAATTAAAGTGTTTTGGGTGTTAGTAAGGGCTGCTTGACATGTCCCGCCCTGTCTTCCTGTTTCAGTTAAAATGACGTCAACACATAGAGTAACGCTGCGTGTTTCTAAGCATTTCAGGGGACCTTTAAGTCATTTTAAGATCAGTTTCTTTAATACAGGTATTTTTCTAATAATCTACTTTAACTTCATAATATTTCTAGATATCTTTGCTGTTACTTAAGTATGATGATTAAATGCAACACTGCCCTAGTGCGCCCCTCGTCACAGCTGACAGTGTTCCCAGTTTAATGAAGGGTGTGTGACAGCTAATCCCACGGCCTGACTGTGAGCTGAAAAGAACTATTCACATCGAATCGCAGATAAAGAGCGTTATTCTGGCAGAAAACAGACTCGTCATGAGTATAAAATGACCCTCAGTGAGAACAGCATCGCCTGAGACGTCTAAAAGCATTCGTCTGCTCAATCCTCCTGTTTTCACTCAGACAGATGGAGTCTCTACGATTGAACTGATTAAATGTGATATCAGCGATAGTAGCTAAGGAAAGTTTCCACTAGTGCTGACTCCAAACGCTTGCTCGGTAAATAAAATGAGTAAACATTGTGTCTCCACTCACTCATGACTAATCTTGTGTCAAACACACACACACTTGGTTTCCATGGCACTGCGCTTTCACTGGAGATCCTTGGCACTGAGTGATACAATGAGACGGACAAACTAAATTGCTTAATAGGAAACCCAAAACCAGTGCGGTGTGAGAGACCAGAGAGAAAGCCATGCCTGAGTGGCCCCTGCCAGACAATGACTCTGTGTCAGACGCCACCTAGAGGCAGCGTGACACTTACAGCTGCTTGAAACCTGTTGAAATCTTCTTTCACAAAACAGTTTTACTTTATATTTTGTCAGGTGAGAGTTTTGCTTGTACCTGTGAGGTGATCTGCAGTGGGCGTCACTCGACACTTCTTGAAGAAAGCATCTGTGTCTGGATCTACGACCAAGAGTGTCGTGCTGTCACCCCCGGCTTTAATAGCAGCCACCACCTCAGCATGCTGCTTCACATCCACCAAAACCCGGTTGACCTGAGAACAAACAATGACTCATCTGAAGACACATGCAGGACTAACTGACTCACACTTAAAGGTACAGTTCACCCAAAATATAAAATTCTGTCATCATTTACTCACCCTCATGTCGTTCCAAACCCCGTTTCCTTTGAATTCCACCAAAATGTTGACGCATTAAATATGAATCAAGTGGTTTAATCCAGTGTTTTTTTATAAATCAAATGTAATATATTTTCTTTATTCATTTAGATTTTAATTTGTCATATTTATTAGTATTTTGTTGATAATTAAAGTTTTTATTAATTTTAGCTTTTATTAATTTTATTTGAAGTGTTTATTTTAGTACATCAAGTTTTACATTTACATAGTACATTTTAGTATTTAGTACATACGCTTTATACAGTATGAAGAACTGAATTACTTTAGGCTTTTATTCACATATAAACATTGATCAGTGCACATACATAAAGTGCTTGTGTCTCTTCAGAAGACTTGGATTAAACCGCTTGATTCATATGGATTTACAATCTCTTTATGCACTTCGTAGCTTGAACATTTTGGTTGTGTGGACTTTCAGTGGATGGACAAAAATGAAGAGAGAATATTAAAAGTATCTTCATTTGTGTTTCAAAGACGTTTCAAAGTCTTATGGGTTTGGAATGACATGAAAGTATATGGTGAAAGAATTTACATTTTCTGGTTGATCTATGCCTTTAAGTGTTAAACAATGACTGGATTATAGCATATTGCTTACAGTATACTGAGTATATAGTATGCAATGAAATTTAATTAAAATAGTAGTATACTATCCACCTTATTTTTGAAAGCGGAAGTAAGTTGTTTTCTGTGAATGTGCAAGAATTACGATTCATTAGCCACTATAGGTAAATAAGTAGAAGTTATTAAGAAATAACAAAGTGTGGCAAACAGTACAATTATTTGTGCTACAAACAAGTGTGTTTATGATAATATAACAATATAGCTTAAAGGCACAATATGTAAGATTTTTTTATTAAAATATCCAAAAACCACTAAAACAGTGTTATATATTTTGCTGACTTGTGTACTTACATTATCCCAAATGTTTCGAAGAATGTTTAAATCCAGAGAAATAAGCAATTTTAACTAGTAACACAGACCGTGTCTATAGTGTCATTGTGTCGCCTGCCAATGACGTCATAACCCCTCGATTTCTGGTTTTGTTTTGTAGAAAACATAACACCAAAGACGCTTTAATATGTTATGCGTTTTATTAGACCGGTGACAACCGCACAGAGTAGCATTATAACAGAACTTTCAGATGTATCTAGTATGATAAAACAGCGATGCTTTACCCCACATACGCATGACCGGAAGGAGCGGAAGCGGTCGACTGTGTCATAATAAAAGCTCCGCTGCTTTCGAGCCGTGTGTCGCGCTCATTCAGCAGCCTCGTTTCGCTTCGACGGCTTTCAGCCTCACCCTGCTTCATTCTACTACGTTAATAAATCATTAGCTCCTCCATGACCATGATTTCTGCCCAAGTCCCGTCGGATTGCATCGGCTGTGGGGATGAAGACCACAACTCCCATGATTCCACACTCAGTCACGGTGTCATCAAACTACGCCTTTGTCTATTTGTTTATTTTGAATACGCGCCCTCTAGCGGCGAAAACTTACATATTGTGCCTTTAAAATAATATTATACTAAAAAGGAATTTTCAATATTAAGCAGCATAACGGACTGTTTTTGCACAGCTAAAATAACTGGAAGCGGATGACACATTCAAGTTACAAATGGCCGCACCCGTTCTCATGTTAAAATAGGGTGGATATTGTATTGTATTGTCTAGGTCATTATGTGCATACGTAATGTCAGCATCAAATCAAAATTATTCCAGTTGCACAATTTATCAGCACACATTAGTCTAAAGAAAAATATTAGAATTATTGTTTAATAATATAAAATAATCCACTGAAACTGTCACACCCCTGTGGACTGTTGTGGGTTCTCCCTCTGTGTCCCTATTTGGTTGTTCCTGTAATGGATTAATAATAATATTGTAACGCCCCTGTGGACTGTTTATTGTGGTTTCTTCCCCTTTTGTTGGTTTAGCCTGTACTATCATTAGTTAATTACCCTCATTGTGCTCACCTGTCTGCCACTAATTATCCACCCTATATTAGTTCCTGTCTGTCTGAGCTTTAGTGGTCGGTTATTGTGAATGTTACTCCGTGTGTGTGTGTGTGTTCTTGACCTGCCTGGATGTTACCTGTTGTGGATATTAAAGTGCTTATTGGAATTCTTGTCGTCTTCGTCATCCCTGCCTGTTTCCACACACGTGACCGTGACAGAATAACCGACCCAAAAAGAAAAGTATAGCGGCGTCTTTCCCCTCGTTTGTTTTTCCGGTTTTTGTCAGTTTTTATTTTGGTGTTATGGATTACCCCGCCTTCCAAATCCTCCTGCTGGAGCAGGGGGAACGCTCTCTCGAGGACCACACGAACGACTTTCTGTCCCTGGCTCACCTCACGCACTACCCGGACAACTGCCTCTGTACATTCTATCAAGTTGGACTTAACGCCACCACACGAGCGCAGTTGTCCGGGGATGGTCCTCGAGAGAGCCTCGCCACCTTCATTGAGTGGGTGCTGGTGTCCTGCCAATCGAGACTCACTGTGGACATCGCGGATGACGACACCAACCCCACTCCGGACCCAGAGCCCAGTCAACTTCCACCCCATGGCGCGGAGCTGCCGGAGCCCACCACAGACAGAGAGCCAGAGCCTGCCGCGGTCATTGAGCCATCGCCATGTCTCCACGGCGCGAGGACGCGCCTTCCGGGAGGGGGGCGATCTGTCACACCCCTGTGGACTGTTGATTGTGGGTTCTCCCTCTGTGTCCCTATTTGGTTGTTCCTGTTCTCATTATTAGTTAATCACCTCATTGTGCTCACCTGTCTGCCCCTCGTTATCTGCCCTATATCAGTTCCTGTCTCTTGTATTCTAGTTTGTTGGTTATTGTGAATGTTACCCTGTGTGTGGGTTCTTTACCTGCCTGGATGTTACCTGTTGTGGATATTAAAGTGCTTATTGGAATTCTTGTCGTCTTTGTCATCCCTGCCTGTTTCCACACACCGTGACCGTGACAGAAACAATGTCACCAAGCCCTTATTTTCCAACCCCTCCCCCAACAATCACCTGGCTCAACTTTAATAAGTAAGTCCTTGCATTTTTTCTTGTTGAATGTCCTGATTCTCTCAAGAATATGTCACATTATGGAAGAAAAATCGTCTGAGAATGAAGTTTCATGTTGGCTTTATGCCAGCGAGTGGCATTCAGTTATCTCAAAAATAAAAAAGTAAATGAGTGGGATATTGTTTACAATAAGCGCTCATGTATACTACACATATTCCATGCATATAGACCATTATATACTATGCACAGTATACAGCATACTGTAGAAATAGTAGGAGTATGGTAGTATGTAGTATGAGTAGTATGCAACTCTGAAAACAGTCTGCAATTGAGATTTCCTTATTTTAATTAACTGAAGATCAGCCAGGATAACTGCTACTCATAGTCAAATGAAGAAAAACGGTCAGTTTTTGCCGTTACACTGACATCTATTTTTAGATGCATTATTCACATCTGCATTGTTCCAACAAAGAAAGTGTTTATCAAAGCAAGGATTCATTTTTCAATATTGTCAGTCTCCTTTCCTGCTGTCCGAGGAAAGGACATCCTGTGTCTTTAATTCACAAACACTGAAGCATTGCATGTTTTCCAAAAACACGAGAGACTAGCATGAGAGAAAATTGTGACTTCAAATATTTATTATTTAAAATTTAACAACATTAAATATTCATAAAACATTGATTTATTAAACATAAATAAATGCATAAGATTGAGAAGTCAATGTAGATTTCATTTCAGGTGGCATTTAAAGGGGTCATATGATGCGATTTCAAGTTTTCCTTTCTCTTTGGAGTGTTACAAGCTGTTCGTGAATAGATAAGATCCCTAAAGTTGCAAAGACTAAAGTCTCAAACCCAAAGAGATATTCTTTATAAAATTTAATCAGTAATTATGTCCCCACTGGATGCAACAAATGCCTTGTTTGTAATGGGTTTTAATGTTTTTGTCACGTCGCTCCAGGACACGGCATCACAATATGGTAAGGGGCGTAACATTTCTGTCACACGCTTGAGGTATTCGGCCAATCACAACACACTGGATAGCTGGCCAATCAGAGCACACCTTGCTTTTCAGACTGATGAGCTTTGTAAAAATCGACGCGTTTCAGAAAGGCGGGGCATAGAGGAGAAACAATAATGTACAGTATGTGGAAAATAATGTGTTTTTTGAACCTTAAACCGAATAAACACATTGCATTACACCAAATACACAAAATAATGTTCTTTTTTAGAAGTGTCATATGACCCCTTTAAAGGAAAAGTTCACCCCAAAATGGAAATGCTGTCATTCCTTACTCACTCTTCACTTTTTCTGACCTCATATTTTCTTGGCTCTTTGAAACGCAAAAAAAGTAGAAGGTGATTCATGCTGCAAAACTTCACGAATGACAAGCCAGAGTGTAAATATACAGGAGCTCTGGGAACAGCTCTCTCCATCTCTCTGTGCATCTATATGTGGAAGGAGGGTGTGTCTGTTAGTGGAGCCCAGGCCGGGAGAGGAAACGGACAATGTGCGCTCAGCAGGAACAATAGCTGCCTGTCCAACACAAAGAGCCTGGCTCGCAGTACGAGGCCTGGAGGCCCCTCTGGGACAACAAAGACCCCTCCATCTCTCTCCTCCCTCTGCTTCCTTCCCTCCCTTCACTTGTTCACTTGTGGCCTTTCTGTGGCTCTCGCTCCGGATGAAGTGGCTAAACTCAAGAATTGTGCTTTATTTTCTGTATTATTTACGTTGTCTACAAAATTATTACGTATCTGAATCCGTTCAGGAACAAAACACCATTGTGTGTTGATCAGAGACGCACAACAGTTCTTGAAATAGAGCAAAAATAGAGTACTATTGACAATGTTGTGTCTAAAACGCAAATCACTGAATATTAATTTCTTTTTAACCCAAAATGTTTTATGACATAGTTGTTTTTGTTGGGCATTACATTTGCAATTGTGCAGACATTCAGGAAAAACAGCACTCTTGTGATACTGCTTAACTATAAAATGTTATAAACATAAAATAGCATACAGGGACATTTTATGCCCTCTTATCTTGAATTATTTTGTGGCTTTTTAAATTAATTTAAGGCAAGACACTACAGACCACTGTTTTTTTTCCCCCATAAACTGGTGAAAGCTTTGAGATTTTGGTCTTTTTTTTTCTTTAATAACTTGTCTTCTTTCAGACTAGTGGAAATAAAAACTCAAAAATTCACATTTATATTACACATGATCTATTTGCATCTGTAGATTTCAATTACCATACATATCTTTAAAGGCCATTTTCTCTTATTATCTTCTGATTTATGGTGAGATAAGTAGACATCCAAAATAAAACAAGAATTTTAAACCTAACTTTATCCATTGTTCAGACTTCTGTTCTAAAAAATTATGCACAAAATAGTGCATATGTCTAATTTCCATATTTAAACTTAACATTTCAGAAAACTTGTAATATAATAAAGCAATAAGCCCCGTGAAGCCGTGGTTTACAGGGAATTTATAACAGCTAAGGGGCATTGTTAGGCACGACAACGGAGCTAGCGGAGTGCCTAAAACCCCCTTAGCTGTTATAAATTCCCTGTAAACCACGGCTTCACGGGGCTTATTGCTTTTATAAAATGGTTATTCCATATACGTAGTACGGTTTCACAAAATAAAACAGAGCAAATAAAGAGTAATGATATGAGTAATGAGTAATTGACATTTGTCTTAATGTACTGTGAGTAATCAAATGGGAAAGTATGGTGGCACTGGCATATATTAGTATGTGCGGTGTTATTTTGGGGTCTGATGAGGGTTTGTAAAGCCGAATTCTATACAAATTTAAAATAGGTCGTCACGTCATGCTTTGAAACTGCTTTAGCACTGCCCTGGTTATTCCACTGTGACATCCTAAGTGTTTTTCATGGCAGTGCTTAATCAAAAAGAGTTGGGCAATCCTGCAGTTTTATCAGCGCAGAAATCTTGTCACATTTTTCTATTTAGTCACAGTCTGGACTCCTGAAAACAAAAATTCAGCCACGTGTCTCCAGACTTTTGACTGGTATGATGTACTGTACACAATACACAAAGTCTCAAAAGTAAGTAGTAGTAGTAGTAGTATGATTACTGAGTGATGTTCTGCTTCTGTTTGCTCATGTCTTCCTGTTGAAATGATCTCCTCTCTCAAGTAAGTACCATTTTGATTAGCCGTCGTACCTACAATGACTGTGCACTGTGTAAACAATGAGTGACGTATACGCGCGAGAGATCACTTCCGGCGCTTGCGTAAACTACGCCAGAGCACGTACACACCTCACGCACCGGATGGCATGCGCACGCTCAAAGACAGTTGGACATAGTGGTGTATTAGAGGTAAAATATGATATAAATACTGTTCGGTTTCTGGCACAAACCGATCGTTTCGTGTCTTAGGACATCAATGTGTCGTCACGAGCCGCAGGGTTTAATTTGGATTTGTCTGTGCATGTTTTTTTTACTCTCATAGATTTTGTTACCATTGCCATGCATTATACGACTGATAGACTGCAACGGCTGGAGTTAAAAATCTCCGTTTGTGTTCTACTGAAGAAACAAAGTCACCTACATCTTGGACGCCCTGGGGGTAAGCAGATAAACATCATATTTTCATTTTTGGGTGAACTATCCCTTTAAGTATTCCTTAAGGGGGTCAAAAAAGCACTCTAAAGTAAATTGCAAATTTAAACTATAATTAATTTAATAGCACTTATAGTATGCTAAAGTGTACTGCTTTTTCCAAAGTGTGTCTATGTATGGTTCGGAACACGTCTAATGTGTCTCTGTACCTGTATTAACCGGTCTTTGGGCCTCAGGCCGGATCTCTGTGCTGGCGAGTCGTCATCTATAGCTCTGATGAACTGGCCGGGTCTGGACTTCTCGCTGTGCAGGTTAAAGCCGAAGCCACTGGGACCTTTCTTAATGACACATAGCCGGGGTCTGAGATGGGTCTTCAAGTCCTTCAGGACAGACAAAACACAACATCAGCACAATGAAACACAAGCGCGTGCCACTGGAATGCAGGAAGTTTGGCGTCTCGTTGTCTGTGCCTTTCATCTTATAGGATATCGTCTTATATAGTATCTTAAAGAGCAGAAGTCCTTAACTTCAGAATCCAAGAAGGCGGCCTCACTAAATCCTGAGGCCGGTTACGTAAACTGTTTAGTCTAGTCTTCCAAGTTAATCAACTAATTTTTTTTTTTTTTGAATTGGTCATATCTTTTTTCCATCAATTACATAAATAATTAGACTGGTCTAATTTGAATCCGAAAAGTAAGACTCTTACTCATTGACTAACTGCTAGCTGGTCAGACTAGTTCTTAAGACACGGTCTTAGCATTTTGTCTGTGTTTATGTTTTTGGCCCTTGACCAAATCCAAATGACTGTATAAATCACAAAAAAACTTAATGCCTAATTTTCATGTGATTTTCATCCAGCTGAGAACCTTTCATTTGTGAAAAAGAAGTACACTTTAGCATACTTTAAAAAAAGACTACTTATTATGGAAATAGAATACTTAAAAAAAATACTTAAATGTGGATTTAATTTTATATTAAATAAAATTAGTTGAACTTAGAGAGTTAGAATTCTATTTTATTTATTTGTATTTATTTATTTTTTGAGCAACCCTAAGTAGGACTTAAGCACATCTTCATATATAATTTCATAATTACTTCTACTGTCTTATGGTGATTAAATGTACTGATGAATGTACTAACAAGCATTTATGGTAAATTAAAATATAAACTTGTATAACATATTTATTTATATTTGTATATATTGTTATATATATATATATAAATATATATATTATATTTACTATTTACATATATTTGTAATTACACATTTGTAATCATCAAGATGCAATTTAGTACATTTAAAATATACTGTGTTAACTGCAAACGTAATATCGAATAACACACTACATTTAACAAAATTATAATCAGGTACTTTACATGTCCATTAGTATGTTAGTCAACACATCAAAATAAGTGTATGTGTACGTCTTTATAACATCACAAAAGGTCAATTAAAACATAATTAAAAATGTACTTTAATGTAAACCTTTAAATTTGACATTTTTACAAAGTGCAGTTTTTAAAAGTGTACTTAAGTATGAAAAGTGTCTCCCTTTAAGTACACGTAAGTGGCTTTTTATTCCATTATTATATATGATCTGCAAGTATAGTTTATTTAATATTTTTAATAAAATTTCAGTTTTATTATTATTTTATTGTCTTTTAAACATACAGAACAACATAGACAAATATAAAATAAAAAGGTAGACTTGTCAAAGTACAGTTTATTTTTAAGATGACAAGGGAATGACACTGCGAGCACATTCAACGCAATTAAGTGCACTTCATTTTCATAAGGGTTTCATTACGGGCTCCAGTCCTGTCTGCTGGGCTGTGCTGCTGGACTGAGGAATAGACCCAGACAGAAGGATGTTTGCCCTTTGTCCTGAATGTGATGGAAGTGGACAGCGCACAGGATGAGGTCCCCTGATTATGAGCCACCCCTCACTGTTCTCACACGGTACACGTACGGTGCATTGTCATCCAGGAAAATAACACCCTTCCGCTCCAAGTTGGGTCTTTTTATAGTTTTTGGACAGTGATTCAAACTACTATTTGTGTTTAATGCATCGTTGATTATACTTAACCATACAATAAAAAAACAGATTTCAACACAGGTGGGTTTGTAATGGGAAACAATTTCATTTTCCTGGTGGGTACAATAAACCTACGTCAGGGTAGGTGCCATATTTAGTTTAACACAAACAAAAACGAGGCTGTCAGGGACTGTCCATGCAATATCATACTTTTCTGATCCAAAGTTTATTACGTCAGCGGTTTGATCACTTGACTGCAAATATAAGCAATGGCAACAGTGAAACCAAGATGAACAATTATAATTAAGCACATAAAACACCACCGCAGAGCAGTCCTCCCATCCCAGCATTCTCACTCTTACACACAGCACTACGGCAGCATTTCCTCTCTGTTGGGCTCAAGCGCAGGAAGAGCTGGACTTCCTGTGGACCACACTTGCTTTCCACTGTCAGAAACAATGTGGAACACCACCCGCCTTCATCCACCCTGAACCACGGCACAACTCACACGCTCCATCACAGAGCCGTCAGCCTGGCGCTCTGTCTGTCCTCCACTCTGAGGATGGGTGGACATCGTGTGTAGACGAATCAGTCTGTGAGGGCTGTAACCTGCCCCGATGAATAGTTCTGCTGCTTTTTAGACACATTTTAACCTCCACTCTGAAATCTATTAATAAATCACAACACAACATGATCTGATCATTCTGCCCACTTGAATAAATCAATCAGACTTTCTACAGTGGATTATGTAAATGTGGATCAAATGCTTTGAAACACCAGTGAAACATTGCTACATTTGGTTACGTAGAAGACAGATTTTATGATATTTTGTTTTTCTGCAATACATATTTCGAATTTTTCACTAGGTGACTTGAATAGGTCTGTTTTGAAAGAATTAAAGGGTTAGTTCACCCAAAAATGAAAATTAGCCCATGAATTACTCACCCTCAAGGCATCCTAGGTGTATATGACTTTCTTCTTTCAGACGAATCCAGTCGGGGTTATATAAAAAATGGTCTTTTATCTTTCAAGCTGTTTAATGGCACTCAGCGGGTGTTGCATGCATCATTCCAAAAGAAGTAAAATAAAGAGCATCCATCCATAATAAAAAGTGCCTCACACGGCTGCACACGGGTGAACAAAGGCGTCCTGTAGCGAATCGATGCGATTTTGTAAGAAAAATAACCATATTTAAAACATAATAATCAATTTAACCTAGCTTGCGCCAACAGTTGTACACGGAAGCAGCTCCGGGAGGATGACGTAAGATGTCGGCATTGCGCATGCGCTGGTGAGTCTCGTGAAAACTAATGTTTGTTTACAGGAGCAGAGGAAGCAAAGTTTCCTTACTTTAGCAAAGGAAAACCAGTCTCATCTTGGCTTATATCGAAATCCTCCGACATTCTTCTTTACAAATTATTTATTATGGATGGGTGCGCTTTATTTCACTTCTTTTGGACTGATGAACTGCAACACCCGCTGACTGCCATTAAACAGCTTTGAAGATCAAAGTCAATTTTTAATATAACTCCGATTGGATTCATCTGAAAGAAGGAAGTCATATACGCCTAGGATGGCTTGAGGGTGAGTAATTCATGGGCTAATTTTCATTTTTGGGTGAACTATCCCTTTAAGGCCTGTTTAACCCAAGGATGATAACTATAACATTAATTATAACTATAATGTTTTAAGAATGGTTCTAATTCCATGAGAAAAGGGACATCCACAACACAAGTACAGTATAATGATAACAAAACAGAGGAACTATATTGTTGGAATCCCTTTCAGAATGCATTTTCCAGCTGATGAACGAGAAAGACATTGTCAGCCAATCAGAATCCACACAGCTTTAACGCGGCAGACAACAACACTGCACACTTATAATGTACAGGACTGTATCACCCATCCATTTATTGGACTGATGAATGGAACGGATGGACAATGACTTTTAGGGAGCCATTCTTTTAGGGCTGAATGATTTGGTGAAATTTTGATGTGATTTTTCTGATAAAAATTATGAACTGTGATATGACAAATATTTAACATGCCATATTGCTGTTGCTTAGACATGCACACTTTACAAAAACTAAACCTCTATGTCAGTAACCATAAAGTGAACAGTTAAAATATTTCCACTTGAGTTATCATAGGCCACATTCCCACTGATTTTGACACATTCAGTATGACTATAAAAAAATAATTATCATTATTACAAGAAACATTATACTGTTGTAATAATACTATTGACTTATTTAACAAAACATTTATTTACTAAAAAATATTTTTATTCTTCAGAACAATAGTACAAGACTAACATTTATGCCTTTCTTTCATTTCTTTATTTTCAAATTTGTTAAAGCTTTTATTTTGTGTAGAAATGAGTTCATGTGGAGCAGCATTTACTGTGAACCGAGCCACTCTGAGACACTGAAACACCGGATCATCAGCTGCTCGCATGTAAATGAACACCATGCCAAGCTTATATTTATTCAATGAAATCGCAGCGATTTTATAAGCCATATCACAATTTTGATTAATCGGCTGAACAAAATTAAATGACTGATCCCATTTCTTTCTCGCCTCAACGGTAAATGCTCTGCTGCCATGTTGGACCACGGGCCACATCATCAGTTCAACAGAGGATGTGTTGTGCGTCTCATGCGGAGGAATCTCAGAGAGGGCATGGAATCTGAGGAATCTGCTGCAATCACAAAAGCCTGTCCATCTTGTGAGGATGAAACATTGAAATGAAAATGGGAGAAACCAAGGTTTGGCTTCCACAGAACATCCTGTGTACACAACCCCGGCCTTGACCTGAGATCAGCCCTGCTTACCCGACACAATCACTGCAACTGCCAACACCAAAAGATCTTCCAAACTCTGAAACATGGAGGGAGTTAGTATATATTTTGGGTTGCTTTACTACTTGCAGTTTACTGGGGGACCAATGAATTTTGTTAATGAAACACAGCTGAGGTTAAATCATTCAAAATCCAGGAAAATATCCAAATTACAAAAGTAAATCTCTGTTCACGCCCAAACAGAGAAAATTACATATACTGTATCACAACGTCCAAATCCTCAAATGCACAGACATGATGTGCTGTGATCTGAAACAGGCTGTTCAAGTGAGATATGCAAAAATATGGAAAAATATCAAAATAAGCCATCTGGAAAAATTAACCACAATACCTTTCCCTTTTCCTTTCATCTTATTGTCATACACTCCAAATGCACATTAGACAGACCATCCAGAAAATTAATTTTGTTTTGTTTTTGATACATTAGAATTAAAGGACTAAAATTTATCAGACCTTTTTTGCATGCATAATACTTACATAGCA